CACCGTCATGAGTACGGTACACATACAAATGCCCGCCTGTGGTAGCCCATTACCAGGCCGTACCCTTATTCCTTGGTGGTTTCCCCAGGAACCGTCCCTGTCAGCGCTGACGCAGTCGAATGTCCCGTGCCGGGCCGACTCTGAGACTTCCGAGACTTCTTCCCACCTTTGGTCTCAAACAAGCTCTTGACTCTCCTCAGACGAGCCCACCTCTCCTTGTCCTTCTTGTCGCGGACCTTCTCCTCATCCTCGTCGTCGCCGTCCTGCGCCGCCAGAGACGGTGTATCGAACGAGACGCCGCCCCGATCGCCAATCGTCGTCGCGGCTATGCTCGGCCGTCGAGGAGTAGAGGGCGGACCGTTGCCGTCCTTGTCCGTGTTGTGCTTGGCCGTGCTAGGTCGCGCTCGGCTTTTTGGCCAGTCATCCAAAGCGCCCCGCAGGTATGCGTCGTTCTTGATGACCTGCGTCAAGATTGTCCACGCAGGGAGGTCCTTCTCCGAGGGCGGTTTGGTGCTGTTCCACCGCTGGGTCTGGGGGTTCTTCCACGGGCAGAAGAAGCGGTGCTCCCTGGCCGGGTCGAGGTGATCCATCGGCGCGGGGACGAGCACTTCGTTGTTGGGCCCGACCTCCTTGCTCTTGAACATCCACAGGCCGAGTCGGCGCAGGCACGTGTGGCAGGACGCCGAGTTGGGCACGGCGCCGATCCTAGCATTCGAAAGACCCTGCCAACCCATGACGGCGAGAGCGAGGGCGACGCGGTTCGGATGGTCCATGTCTGGTCGGGGAGCAGGGTTGTTGAAAAAGTCATCGGGTAGTTGTGAAAGGACGGCGTCCATGTCGAGGCCTTCGGGGAGTCGCAGGTTGAATTCATAGGGAAGGAACGGCTTCCGGGCGCAGAGCTCGTCGTACCGCTGCCGTAGAGCTTCGTGGCTCACTTTGGCATTCGTCAATGACAGCCGCAGTAATGAATCTTCGCAAAAAAGAGTCAGCCGAGAAGCAATGGACAATCGGTATCGGACAACAGCATACCGTCGCAGCCTTGCCTCCGCCACAGGCAGTCCTCCTGATGGGCGGTCACGACAAGCTCGGCATACTTCTCCTGCAGCGCCTCCTCGACGTCCGACGATACGAGCGCGGGCACGTCCTGGCCATCGACCTCCTTCTTCGTGAGCTTGACGAGGAGCTCCTTGCTGCAGAGCGTGCAGCGCACGCCCCTCCTTGCCCTGGCACACCCACCCCCTCTTGGCCCACTCGATCTCGTTGACCAGGTCGGGCTTGGGCGTCCAGTCGGTGATCTCCTGGAAGGTGGCGAGCCTCTTCAGCAGCTCGGCGCGGTCGTTGGGTGCGTACTTGGAGGCCGGCTTGGGGCGTCGGCGGGTTCTCTGGTCGAGTTCCACTTCTTCAGCACAATGTTCGAGACCTTGGTCGTGCCGCCGAGGGACTTGATGGTGTTCGTTGCGGCGGCACGCTTGTCGGTCAGCGCCTGTAGACGCCGTCGCTTCTGCAGCAGGTCTTCTTCGACGGCCATGGTCGCTGGTGAGGTGTGGAGGGAGGCGAGAGAGGCAGGTCGAGGGGAGGCGGAAGGTGCTGCATCGTTGGTGGTGCCCGTGTCGTTGGCAGGTGTCGACGACCGGCTGCCGATGCCCTGAATCAGCGAGTTGAACTTTCTTTTGGTTGCGTTCATCGTAGGTGGCTGGTGCCCGTTCGTGTCGGCACGACGGCTGGGAAATGATGGCGACCAGGATGCGGGATCAGGTGAAAGGAAAGCTGGTGATGTATTGGGGATGGATTGAACTAAAAGCTATGGTGGGACCTTTGTTTACTTGGACTTGTGCATGGTCGCGCACACAGATGGATACGATGCACGGGCCTCGATACATGAGATCTGACTGCCAGTGACAATCAATTCTCTCTAAGGTACAGTAGTTATTACTTTACCTACCCATGATCCATGAAAGTAACGGTGTCATCACAATCCAGAACACAGTGCATCCCTATCGGCTTTGTGACATATTGGGTTCCAGACCTGGGCGGGTATTGCTGCGCTACGTCTTGTCTGCCGCTCTATGCAAGGAGGCTTCTCTGACAGCCTCAACCTTGGTCGACGCCTCCATCGCTTGTGTTGCGCAGGGCTGTTCATCCACTATGCCGATTGGGGTTGACGCAATGCTGAAGGTGGAACACTCTGGCGGCGAAGTCTGGGCTGGAGCTGATGATACCAGTAGCGGTTGACTGTATGCACGCACGGAACTTCGCGGAGCAGATCTGGACCCGAAGTCTATAGTGATGGTGCAACAGAGTGCTTCTTCTGACGAGGCCATGTTGAGCTCGTAGTAGTAGTAGTTCTGAATTCGTCTTGGGGAGAAAGACGTATGCGATTGTCCTCCTTGGAGAGCGGTGCTCACTTCACAGGATCTGGAGTTAGCCGGCTATGGATGTGCTTGCAATCATACTAGAACAATTGCCTTATCACTGTCTTAGCGACGCTGTAGGAGATACCATAGCAATAGCCTTTGAGTTGGGAAAGACGATCAAGCCTTGGAGCAGGTGTGAACTCAGCGACCTCTCTAACCTACACAGGTACCTTAGGTAGGGTGCCTGTAGAGAGAGGCTTGCGGATCCTGATAAGATAAGACCCTTGGCGGGGCCGGGATCTGTCTCGAAAAAAAAATTGGTCAATTCAGGCTGGCGTCTTCGAATTGGGCGACGACCTGATCAGTGCTCCCAGTAGGGGAAAAAAAAAAACTCCCTGTCGAGGATCGCAACTCTTACTCTTGCTCAAATCCACCACACCAACCCCAGGTTGATCCAAGTGCCTGGCCACCCACCACGCTCAACTACTACCACAACACATGTCGAGCAAGCCACCCGCTTGGCTCTTTTCAAACAACTCGGTCAAAACCACCACTGCGCCCCAGAGCGAGCAGCCTACCGTGACCATGGCCAAGACTGATAAGAAGGACAAGAAGGGCAAGAAGGCCGCCGCGCCTGCCGCTCCGCCCGCCGAGCTCATGGATCTTGTCGAGAACTTTCTCTCCGAGCACGCGCCATCCGCCCACGTGGCCTTCAAGAAGCAGCACGGCAAGAAGTCGTCCAAGTCCAAGGATGCCACCAAGAAGCACCGCCACAACCTCGTCAGCGTCTTCCAGACTTGGGAGACGTCGCTGAGCACCCCCGAGGGCGAGCCTGTCACCATCACCGAGACGGTCGTTCAGAACGTCAGCTCCAGCTCCAGCTCGAGCAGCAGCGATTCGAGCTCCGAGGAGGATGTCGACATGGCTGACGCTGCCGCCGCCGAGTCGAGCTCTGACTCCAGCTCCGACTCCGACTCGAGCAGCTCCGACAGCGACAGCGACAGCGACGATGAGCCCGCTCCCAAGATTGCTGTTCCCGTCGTCAACCTGAAGCGCAAGGCTCCTGCTTCAGACAGCAGTGACTCGTCTGACTCGGACTCTTCCGATTCCGACTCCGAGTCCGACAAGAAGCGTCCTACGGCGAAGAAGCTTGAAGACGGCCAAGGCTGGCCAGCTCTTCGGAGTCCTCGGACTCGAGTTCCAGCTTCTGAGTCGGGACAGCTCCTCTGATT